CCCAAAACCCCAAAACCCCAAAACCCCAAAACCCCAATCTTATTTACCATTATTGAAAGTACCCTGATAGATCATGTAGCGATATCAGCCCTTCTTGAACTAATCTAAAGTTATTTGTTCTATAAAGTTATCAAAGGACCCCTCAAGAGTAAATCAAGGCATTGGTAATATACCTATTCTTTCTTTTTAGCAGAAAATTACTCATAAATAAAAAGAGATAGGCATTCTCCCTTCTTTATTATGCAAAAAGGAGATCCAGATGTGCAGAAGAGCATACTAAAATTTTAGCTATTTGTTGACTCACAGCTGGCCTTTAGAAAATAATACTCTCATCAATCTGATAACTACTGCAGAGATAGGGACTTTAGGACCAGTGGAAAAGAAGAAGCTTTCTTAATAACGAGCACAACTGAGCTTTTGTCATAAAGAAAAGCCATGCATTTTATATGATAAAATTAGTGTAGTTAAAACCTGGAGTTCTTCACTAAGCTAGATTATTACTTAAAGAGATTTCAGACTTTAGGCATAGAGTATAACTAACTTGTCAGCTTTTATACAAATTAACTTTGATGATGTGAGTTTATGGCAGGCTGTTCTGCAAATCTATTCTCTCCATCAGCAAGAGGCTGGCCTTCAGATTGATAGTGTTCAAGACCTTCATTCTTGGTAGCTTCTTTATCACCACTATCTGCTTAGTGAGGAAGTACTCCTTGGAGATTCTGATTAAGAGCTTGACTCCCAAGGTTATTTTTAACATAAACAGCGTCCTGAGCCCTCCCATGTACAGGTTCTGTATCTACCATCATATCCCCTTTAACCATTTGTTGTTGAGGGGTGTCGTAGATTAATCTTTGATCTGGAGCCATTCTGACAAAAACATCATCGACAGTTAAAATGAAGAAGTACAAATTGTGTCAAATAAAATTTGCCCAAAATTTCATTAATAAAACATTGAAATTGCTCTAATGCTATTATTTAGACAAAATCCTTAGGTAAGCTTCTTTGCTAAGTTAAGAGTCTTAAGATTAATTTTCTGAACCACTAAGAGCTAAAATCAGATATCCCAGAAGCAAATTGACATTTCTTAATGCTAAAATTCCAAATTTCCTGGCTCATAATCTCAGAGTCGATACTTACAAACGATAAAAGAGTTGAAATGAACATAGCGACTTGAGCTACCTTGACCTTTCAGTAATACAGTAAACATCATATTTAAATTATTATTTATGAATTTATCAACTATCTTAGGCTTTATTGGGGTTTTGGGGTTTTGGGGTTTTGGGGTTTTGGGGTTTTGGGG